TCTAAAGAATGCAGGGGATTTCGTAATAGTGAAAATAGTATAACCGATTTTCTCTAGAAATTACATAAATCGTTGAGTTAGATTTTATTCGACTTACACCATTGAAAATTTAATCTTGGAATCTGAAGCGAAAATAATAATAAATTCTTATTGTGTGGATTTCCACCTCTTTTGGTATTCACTGAACGTGTAATGCAAGAACAAATCGATGAAAATTGTAATATTGATTACGATTGACTCCTGGATTTGACCTTATCATCGAAGATTATGTAGTCATAATGAATACAGATTTAACCTGGTCGCATAGATCAGTGGTATTCAACCTGGGGTACGCGAAGACATCTTAGGGGGCACGTGAAATTTTTAAAAATAATATTTTATGATAAACACTGAATAATAAGTAATGTAATTTATTTAATTTATTTTAGATGTAGATTATATACTATGTATAACTTGAATTATACACCAACAACTTTGGGGGTACGAAGTTGAAGAGAAATTATATCTGGGGGTACGCGAAGACATCTTAGGGGGTACGTGAAATTTAAAAAATATATTATTTTATGATAAACACTGAATAATCAGTAATGTAATTTATTTAATTTATTTTAGATGTAGATTATATACTATGTATAACTTGAATTATACACCAACAACTTTGGGGGGTACAAAGTTGAAGAGAAATTATATCTGGGGGTACGCGAACAAAAAAAGGTTGAATGCCATTATTGGTCTAGATGACCCTTACTTATCGGCATTTCTGTCGGGCGACTTTACAGGTGAATTACGACGCTTTGCCATGGAGGAATATTCCGTCCTCTGAAGTGGAGAGTTCTGAAAGTACGTTGAGAAAAAAAAACGGGTGCTGTTACCGATACAACGTGACTTGGCCTACGTCACAGAAGACGAGATGCCTGAAATGACGTTGCAATATCGAACTAAGTATTCTGAGATATTGTTTTCAATTGCGTTTGGTTTCTATTAGAATTTGAAGGCATTTGACGGTGGTCTCAGTGCAGGCTGGCTTCTTGTTTGTTTGAGGAATTTCGTGGAACCTCTGGACACTCGTGTGGCTTTTGAAGGAGGGTTGGCCGTTCACGTCAAATGCCAACCTCTTGTCCGTAGAGTCCATTGGCGCCAGGTAACTCGTGCTTACGTCATACAACACGAGATACCCGAAAATTATGTTGGAGCATCAGCGAACTAAGGACTCCGGTGAGTACGATGATAAATTGTCAGGTAATGCCCACTGATCGAGTTTCAGAGCGTACATACAGAAGCGACGTAATTATAAATTCTTGTCATTATGTCTGCTTTGAGGTGATTGGCGGAGCCGTCTTCACATTCACGGTGATTATGATATCATCATTCTTCATCGCCGTCGTGAACCCTCTGAACCTTAAGATTTTCCCACGCCTCGCTCCTGGACGCTGCTCTGTGACGTCATATGACACGAGACGTCTGAAATGATGAGGCACCAGCGAGCGACGGACCCGGGTGAGTACGGTGATATATTATTTCAAGGTCGATTCAAAATTATTATGATTTTCGTAGATAGTGTTCTGCGGGAAATTAGAAATTATTATGTCTCGACGGCGATGTGGTGTCTGAGTAAAGCCTGGTCTGCGTGGATGTGAGAGGAATGGGATTTCGCGAATGTACCGATATCGTAAAAATGAAAGAATGTTTGAAACTCCTTACGTAGGTAAGGAATCGAGTTCTTTCGTGAGTTGGAAACAGAAAGGAAAAGTTACAGATCATTTGAGAAGTGTTGATGGGAAAATGAGAAATTGCTGACAATCGCTGAGACGTTACGTGTCCTTTGATAGACACGCACACAATTTATTCCGTCTCTTGTAGTAAACATAAACACGGCAGTCATCGTGTAGCTGACAGTCGTTTAACTGGTAAAGGCGTTCCTCTTCGTGTATGGAAACAGAAATTTTATTACAGCATTTACAAAAACTGACTGGTCGTCCTTACTTCATTTCTCGTGAATAAATTTGGTAAGGAAATGCAGTGGTGTTAGGTGGACCGAGTCCTTCCAGACAGTGGTTTATAAAGGGGATTAGAAGTGCGTCGTGTGCTATCGTAGTGTCGGGAGGGGGCAAACAGACTCGTCAACAGCTGCGGGTTATTAGTATAATCGGATTTTTGTATATTAATCTTCTTATCGTATTTATAGTTCAATATCTCCACGGTCTGGCCCGTAGCTTACTGACTCTTACAATATGGTTGATAATTACAAGTATCTATTAATGATAAGGATTAAAATTATCAAATAATAAGTTTGGTCATAAACATTTACGTGTGTGAAGGGTCCACATGCGACACCTGGAAAGCGACCTTAGAGCGGTCATTTAAAAATTCCAACCTCGATGTCGTAAGTTATGTTCACAGAAGCGACCACATCCATACCACTAATCCAGGAATGAAGCCTATATTTTATTAATTTTTTTTAAATTAAATGCATTGAATAATATATACTAAATTATAAAATAATGTATACTCGTAGCTAAATTTTATGTCAAATCTGTTTGGTTGCACTTGTTCTGGAAGGGGGGGGGGTGGCTTGAAATTTATTAAATGTTTTTTAAAGGGGGGGGGGGGCAAGGTATAAAAGTTTGGGAACCTCTGAGCTAGGGAGAAAATATTTAAATACTATTTAGATGAGGTTCGGGCTTTAACTGGTTACGCATAACTGGACGTAAACAACCCGTATGTTACTTAGCGCAAGTAGATACGTCCGTTAACATTTACGTACATGTGGGAGGGAACAGTGCCTCGAGAAAACTGACTAATAAGAAACGAGAAAGAAAATTTACCGATACGATAGAACATTTCAAAAGTCTGTGCATTACAGAGCGATGCAGGTGGCCTCTGTCTCGCGTGGTCGTCGTTGAATCCATTTGATTCCGGTATCACGTTTTGTTGATAATATTACGTCTATTTCCAGTGTCGGTGGTCGTCGTTAATGCAGATCTCTGTTCTACTATCGTTGCTGGTGAGCGAAATGAATTGTTTTCACTAACTAACTAACGTTTCGGGTGCAGAGGTTAAACTCCTTCCAGTGTTCCTTAATTGTTTCTGTTCTTTTCTTCGTTTTCGCCTTCGTCCTACCCTCACAGGATAGAAAGAGATTGGTGTAGAGTTGTAGCCGCATTTATTCGTAACCACTAACAAGATGAACTCTACGGTCCAGCCGCTGAGCTGCAACGGAATACGCACACACACACACACAGTTAGTTTGCCCACAATATTAGAAATTACGAGATGTAAATAGGGCGGGTGAGATTATAGACCATATACCGGGTCTACAATTTATGACTTTCGGGGCGTGCTTCCATCGCGTTGTCGGCCGGCGATCTGTTGACGTCGGTGGGAGTCACCGGCGAATCAGTTTCATTGCGTCTCTCGTAGCGGATTGACGTTGATAATACGGTGCATAGTATTAAGCAACGTGTGTTCTTAGTCGAAACATATGTCAAATATTCATCCTACGTAAATATCGCAGACATTTTCCTGGTATAAGTGTTCCTAGCAGGTCCATGATAGAGAGATTAGTAAAAAGAATTCGTAGTACGGGATCAGTTTTGGATAAAAAGAAGAACAGGAAACGGAGTGTATTGACGGAAGAGAAATTGGATGAAATTGGGGCTTTCTTAGAAAAAAGTCCAAGGAAATCTTTGCCACGTTTAGCTGCACAATCTGGCGTGTCATCGGGATCTGCTCACACAGCAACAAGACTTCTGAAATTGCGACCATATAAGACCACTGTTGTTCGGAGACTCACAAATCCTGACTCTGGTGCTAGGATCCGTGCATGATGGGATTGTTAATCCAGAGCTATTGTTTTTTTAGTGATGGCTGCATTTAAGTGGATACGAGGTGCGATCGGAAAGTTTCAAGACTGTGTCAATAGAGGGCGAACCGAACTCGCCAAAACGGCTACGGAAACCTATGAAATGCTAAAGCAAGCATTTGGGGAGTCCGCAATGGGTCGTGCACAAACTTTTGTGTGGCGTTCACATTTTAAAAATGGCCGAACCTCTGTCGATGATGACGAGCGTTCTGGACGACCATCTTCGAGCACAACGCCCGAAAATGTTACGAAGATTCGGCAGGCCATTCACGAAGATCGACGTCGTACCATCAACGACTTGTGCGACATTGTTGGGATAGGCTATGGGACCTGTCAGCTGATTCTAAAGGAAGA